GAGTAATAACACTTTGGAACCACTTGCATTTTTTTCAAGAAAATTATCCCCTACAGAAATTAATTACTCCACATTTGACAGAGAACTTTTAGCAATATACAATTCAATTAAACATTTTAAACATTTTCTAGAAGGTAGAACATTCACTGTTTATACTGATCATAAACCAGACAGATCTCCTCGACAAATTCGACACTTAGAATACATTGCACAATTTACAGACGACATTCAATACATTTCTGGAAAAGAAAACATAGTTGCTGATACCCTTTCACGTATTCCAGATGTTAACATGATTTTAGCCCTAGACATAAATTTTCAAACATTATTCGAGGAACAACAAAAAGATCAAACGCTTTATGACATAATATCTGACCAAAATTCCAACAGTAATTTAAAAGAAATTAATATTCCAGTACTTAATCTTAATATTTGGTGTGATATTTCTCAACAACCTTTTAGACCATTTGTTCCCAATTCTATGAGAAAAGTCATTTTTGATAAAATTCATTCTTTATCACATCCAAGTGTACGTACAACTAGGCGTTTGATTCAATCAAAATATGTTTGGCCTAATATGCGCAAAGAGATAAATAATTGGACTTCTACTTGTATAAGTTGTCAAAAATCAAAAATTTCTAAACATACTAAGACGCCTGTGCAAAAAATTAACATTCCATCTGGACGATTTGAACATATTCATATGGATCTTGTTGGTCCATTACCTGTGTCAAAAGAAAATCGTTACATTTTAACTATCATTGATAGACATACACGTTGGCCAGAGGCATATCCACTTAGAGATATTTCAGCTAATTTTATAGCAACAACATTTGTTCAAAATTACGTTCCTCGTTTTGGCATTCCACTTTATATAACAGTAGATCAAGGATCACAGTTAACATCAAAATTGTTCACAGAATTAACTAAATTGTTAGGATCTCACAAAATTCATACATCCCCATATCATCCTCAATCAAATGGAATGATTGAAAGATTTCATAGGACATAGACTGCTATTACTGCTTCGGAGGATTCTACTCACTGGTCTGAAATTATTCCTTGGATATTATTAGGATTACGTACGTCTGTTAAAGAAGATTTAAAATGCTCTTCTGCAGAATTAGTTTATGGACAAACATTAAGATTACCAGGTGAATTAGTTGTTACGAACAGTTATAATAATGAAGCTGATAATACAAATGAAACTCTTTCTAAGCTAAGAAAATATTTTTCGAATGTTAGATCAAAGGTTGTACATCACAATAAAGAATACTCTTTTATTCCTAAAAATTTGGATACTTGTGAGTATGTTTTTGTTAAAGTTATTCACAAGTCAAATTTGCAATCACCTTATGAAGGACCATTTAAAATTATTTCGAAAAATGACAGAGTATTCAAAATTCAACATGGAAATATGATTAAAACGGTTTCAATAGATTTACTCAAACCTGCAAATATAATTTCTGATACAACAAAAAAATATAATTCACTAACAATTCCGAAAACAAAAACGAAAATAACATTTAACATTAATTAATTTATTGTTTTACTGGAGGGGGAGTATATGTACCTATATGTTTTTATACTTGTTTAAATTCTTTATGTTCAATTTATGGTTCAATGAATTTGTTTGTTATCAAAACGAAAATTTTTGATTATTCAATAAATAAACTTTCAATTTTTAAACATTAAAATATTTGTACTTAAAATTAAAATTAAATCAATAATTAAAATATCAACATACGATATATACACCACTCTGTATACCCACCACCGTTGTACACACCACACACACACACACAAATATGCACTGCAAATGTCAATTCACTATTGAATTTTAATATACTCAGAATCTTTCGTTTGTGAGCCCGTGCGGACGCATCCTATACGAATCGAACTTTTTTGCAAAATAAAACCATCCGTAATTTGTAAATTCAATTTAAAACAAGTAAGAAAGTCTAAGTTCGGGCGGAGCCGAACATTAAATACCCGGCGCAAGTATTAAATATATGTTTTTTCACCTTTCCGAAAGCTACCGCTAGATGGTAAGACGGGGTATATCAATTTTGAGTAAATTAGCGTCCTTAAATTTCGAAATATTCCAATTTCAAGCATTTCTGAAATTTGCCGTTATATGAAAAGCGGCCGTAATTTTAGTCCGATTTCAATAATTTTCAACGTTTTACTTTTATGTGGCAAGGGCATTTTCCGAAAATTTATAATATTCTTATTTTTCGTCTAAAACTTATTGTAAATATCAATATTGAGTTAATAATCTCCAGTAGTTACTAAAATATCGGAGTTTTCGGTTTTCCGAAAATTACCGTTATATGGGAAGTGGGCGTGGTTACAGTCCGATTTCGCCCATTTTCAATACCAACCTACCATGGATAAATGGAAACCTACATACCATTTCGTTGAGATATCTAAATTTTTGCTCGAGTTATCGTGTACACGGACGGACAGACGGACGGACAGACAGACATGACTTAATCGATTTCCCTTTTCATTCTGATCATTTATGTATACATTTGTCTATATCTATCTCGATTCGTTTTGGCTGTTACAAACAACCGTTATGTGAACAAATTTAATATACCCTTGTGCACAAGTGCGCTCGGGTAAAAAAACGTAGTATTATTATAAAATATTTTAGTTATTTTATCACATCAGTAATATAAAATTAAATAAATTCGTTTGCAGCCGCCACCTAAAAAGGCGGCGTTAGATTTAATATAAACGGCATTAGGCTTTTCGATCAGCTGGTTAGGCTCATGATGCAATAGCTTTGTTTCTTAACAGATAGTTATCACAATTTATCACTAATTTCTGCTAGAATGCGTTTCTTAACCCAAAAAGCTAGCAGAAACTAGCAGCTCTCTCTCGTTCTTACGCTCTTCTTTTTTGGCTCTCCTGCTAATTTCTGCTAGTAAAATTTTTACTAGCAGAAACTAGCAGTTGCCAAAATGGATAAACAAAAATTCGCGCTAAATATTTTCATTAGTCAAATACACCGATCAGCTGATTACTTGCTAGTTTCTGATAGTTTTTCGTTTCTTTACTTTTTCGTTATTTCGCTCTCTGCGAGCGTAATTCTATCAATTTTCTCATTCTTCTTCTTCCTGATAATTATCTGCTAGAAAAGAAAAGAAACAAAGCCAATAATACAAGGTGTTATCAGTTGGCAACTTCTCGCTCTAATTCCGCCATATTGACTGCCTTAGCTGAAACAGTGTTACTTCTTTAACAATTCTTTGCCTAATAATATGGCTGAATTTTTTTTATTTTTTCTCAGTATACACATTTTGTTTTCTCAAAAAGGATTTATATCTTATTTTATTTCATTTCATTGCGAATATACTATAAAAAAGCAAAATTTGTTTAGAAGAAAATACGAAAATTTATATACAAATGGGGATTCATTTCTTACCGTTTTTCTTCTTATTCTACTGAGCTAAGGCAGTGTCAAAACGAGCTGTCCCAACAGATACCACCTTGTATTATTGCATCATGGGTTAGGCTTACCCAACACGTTGAGTTCAGGTAGCGATAAAATTTTCCGATGGAAAAAATTGCGGAATTTTGCCAACTATTGAACTGAGCAGAACTACTCAACTGTCCGTTTCTAAGACAAACAGTCAACGGTTAGACAACAGCTACATCTTATGAACGCGCCCATTGATTCACCTTAGGGCCGGTTGTTCAATGTCTGATTAGCACAAATCGGAGGTAGAAGCTCCGGTTAGATACAACGACTGCTTTATCGATCACATGTTATATGCTTGATGTCGAAATCGTCGATAATGATGTTTAACCGGCAAGTAGTGATAACCAGACATTGAACAACCGGCCCTGCTTATCGCAGTGCTTATACACTCTATTGCTTTGCAATTAAGGGCCGGTTGTTCAATGTCTGGTTATCACTACCACTACATCACTACTACTACAGCAGTAGTTGTGCTTAACCGGAGCTTCTACCTCCGATTTGTGCTAATCAGACATTGAACAACCGGCCCTAAGGCTGATGCAGCAAACTTCGGCAGCATATCAGCGGGATTGATTAGTTAACTTGCTAAAGGAGGATGCTTGGAGCAGAAGCGAAGTCATTGTGATGCAATGCTGTCAATATAATAATAAAGATACATTTCGAGAACGGCTTTACCGTGCCCTATGTACACAAAATACAGCGATTCGTCACAGCGCTACACTTGCATCATCTACGCATCTCGCATCTTAACGGCTGTCGAAATTTAACACACGGCACTTCATTTTATTAGTTTTTAAGCAGTCTTCAACTCAAAAACCGCTTAGAAATTGCAAATTAATACCATTTAAACTGATTTTTCACTTATAATTAAAATTCTCTTTGTCGCTGATTTGTAAACAAAGGTTTATTTACAAGTTACCACAACTGTCAAAATCGGCAAAACCAAAGTAGCGGTACCACTGACGGCGCCACCTTTGTTCGCTGCACCGTTGTGCTTATACGTAAAATGAGAGTAACGAGATTATTAGTTTTGTTTATTTGGGTTATGCAGCCTTTGCTAGAATGCAAAGGTGAACAATGCAAATGCCTTTTTATGCCGAACGTTTTGATGTTTTTTATTATTTGATATTTTTAGCCATTCAATTTTTTTTTTGTGCAACTCTGCGTGAGTTGAACGCAAAAGTTGCCTGAAGCTTTGAACACATTGGCTGCGTTTCTTTATACATTCCGGATAATCCCATTTCACAGCTGGAATAAACAGAATGCGTTTGAAATATACGTTGACATATCATCAGGAACGTTCTAAAGAATAAGTAAACAAAAAAGTTTATTCCAAACATTCAGAATGAATAAAGAAATGCAGCCATTGAAAACGACGTCTACATTTTAAAACACTATTTGGGACGATCAGTGAACACCCAATATTTAATGGCTAGGCATATGCCAAGGATTTAATTTAAAGAATTGGTATAGGGTACCGAATAGGAAGTATTGGGTACCGACAATTCAGCACATAACTAGAATCGGTTAGGGACGTTTGTGATGATGAAAACAAACTCGACGAAATTTGTGCACAAAGAAATTACAGTGAAATTGCAAGTTCCGTGGAAAAAAGTGTACATATTTTACAAATTTCGATATTAAATGTGGTTTGATCACCGATAGAAGCATTTTAATATGCTGAAATATTTTAAGAAACGTAAAGGTAATTGGGAAATATGAATTTACAGGTGTGAAGTTCATCATATTCAATCTTAATACACATACATGTGTACATACATCCATACATGCATAGATAGGTTTGCATTTTCTAAATGGGTGCTGTGATATCATACCGTCGTCATCTTGGACGTGCCTGCAATTTAAGATTTTTGCTATCCAATAGATTCTCGTAGCAGAGGGACGTGGACCGATGCCTCTATCCGAAAATCCAGTATCGAAGCGAATGAAGACGCCTTAACAGACATTGAATCATTGCAAGGTGAACATGGAATCAAACGCAACTCCTTGCAATCTACTTCAAGCTTTTGTGATGAAATACTCTCCCAGGCAGACATAGAGGATGATGCATTGGATGGTTGCGGTAGTTGTGGCAGGAGCTTGAGTGGCTACAGCTTGGCATCCGACGAAGGTGAGTGAAATTAATGTTCCGAAAAGCACAAAATTGTACTCTCATATTTTGTTTATAGATGTTTTCCGATATAAATCACGTCTGGCGATGACACTTACGTCAATACTAAATGACCCCAACTGTTTAAGCTACTTCGTGCAATACCTAGATATAAAAAATGCACTTGCTCCGCTAAAATTCTATCTTGACACCGATAATTTCAAAACTGCAGCACTGGCTCACTTGGAGAAAAGAGAACAAAATGATGGGCTAGTGCTATTAGAAAGTGTAGTAGATTTACAAAGCTTCAGGGAAGCAAAAAACCAGCCAAACAACGAAATTAGTTTGACGTGTGAAGATGTTAGCAGCGCCACGACTTTGGAAGATGATAGGGACAGAGTACCTGAATTAAAAAGTTATTACGATTTATCTATGCGTCAGCCTCTTACAGATGATGAAAAGAGTCAAATATACGAAGAAACTAATAAACAGATAAATGAGAGCACACGTTCCAATAATTTAAATAAGAAGTGCCAAAATTGTTCAGATGTAAAATGCTATGGACTCAAATGTAGTGATTTTGCTATTAAGACCGCATCGCATTTGGGCAATAGCCGAGAATGTGATGAAAAGTTCGTGAGCCCAGCTAGCGTAAAGGATGCAATTGCTATATACCAAAAGTATTTAATTGCAGGTGCAAGTCAATTTGTCTCGTTACCGGTCTCAATTTTGTCGCAAATATCGCTACTGCTATGTCAACGAACAGAAAAAATGCATCTGGCAGCTGCGCAAAATACCACAGAGTCAGAATATGCGCCAACGATCCCAGCAACATGCTTTGTTGAAGCGCAACGTTATTTAATGGACCAGATGGAGCGAATGTACCTAAATGACTTTTTACAAAGTCCTTTTTACAGTAAATACTGTGTTGAACTAGTAGAGAATGGACACCCACAGTTATCCATATATGACATTCTATACAGCGAAGCTACACTTTTTTTCTTTATGGAATTTCTTGAACAGCACGGTGAACGCGAATGCCTTGATTTCTGGACATCGGCTATAAACTTTCGTAAAAGTTACGAAGTCTTAGCTGAAGATGCCTTGGAAAAGCACACATCAAATGCTCGAAGTTCAGTCAAAAGGGAAGCTCAATCAGATGCCATGATTATCTACGAAAAATTCTTCTCGCTGCAATCGGAAACCCGTTTATGGTTATCCGACCGACTACGAAGTCGAGTGGAGGAATGTATCTGCGCTGACGGTCGGATTAGGTACTGCTTTGATTTACCCTTACAGTTAATAGCAAAATACTTAGAGCGCAAATATTTCCAAGACTTTTTGGAATCTCAACTTTTTCAAAACTATTTGAATGAGCTAAAGTTGAAAATATATGAGATCAATGGTATATCTGTATCAACAGCAACTTCTACTATCACAAGTGGCGTTTTTCGTAAATCACTTCACCGCAAAACACTGTCAGATTGCAGCGAAGGAAATCGGCGAGAAATTTTAAAACAAAACACCTTATTGGCAATGGACGGCAACAAATTGCCACAAACACGTATTAAAAGTCTTCAACAAACTAGAGGGTCGGACCTCCATATTGATTCACGCCAGTTAACAAATCCAAATTTGTTGTGGCGTCGTTCATACTCATCAGAGGGTGGCGCTCTTAAATTTGGGCACATTAACGAGTTAGGTCGCTACGAACGTGATTTCGAAACTGTAGATTCTGTGGCAAGTGAAACATCGTACGGTGGTAAGCTCAACTGGTCTCTTAACCTTAGTGGCAACAAGATCAAAAATGCAATGCGAAAACTAGTTAACTTGCCAGAAGATAAGGTTCAAGAAGAAATTGCGTGGCAAGTTGCTGAAATGATTGTTAAAGATGTTACGAGTGTGACGCTAAAAAGTGATCGTATTAACTCTACAACAATAAAAAAGACGACGTAAGTAAGAGCACACCCTTTGGCATTTAACAAGGAAGTGCCAAAGTCTATTCAAAAACATACGCATAAGTACACTTTGCTATCAAAATAGTAATAACTTAATTCATATGTATTGTTTAAACTGATTCCTTAGTTCTACTCAAAGCTTAATGCATAGCATGCTGTACAATTGTATTGAGAACCGACTCAGCGCGGTGTGTCTCGAAGGGAATCTTAATGTCTCACTTTGTAAATACTATTAGTCAGCGTTGTGCTACTAGCCGAAATGTTTGGGTGCATAAGATGGGTTGCATTCCAAAACGTCAAAATACAAAGCATCGGTATTTTTTATTTCGATGGTTTCCAGTCTCATTTTGTATGCATTACACATTATTAAGATTATGATAAAGTAGCCAGGTATTTAAGGAAAATGCCAACAGTTTATATTTTAAATTATCTATTTTATTTTTTATCGAAGCTCTCTAATGCATATATCCTATGTATAGTCAAATTGATGAACAAATTGCAATTCTTTTTCATAATAAACATCTAAAATA